TAAACAGCATTGCTTAGCAAAATTAATGAGTAATGTTTGACTGTGATTTCATTTATCCTCCCTTTGCATCCCAGCATAATAGCATACCCAATTTTCATGACAATTTTGAAATCTAATTTAGAGCAAGCAAAACACTCAGGTTTAATTTTATAATGTTATATATCACTTATACTTGGAGTCAGTTGACTTTTTGATTAACTGAAGTTGATGTGGGTTGTCAGACCATTGCTGTGTGCTGTCGAAAATCTCGCCTTAGTACACATCCTGTAGTAAAAGAAAAAATAAGGAAAGCAAGGAAGTGATGGGAAATAACTATTGAAAATTCATGAAGCTAATATAAAAATTCCAAAAGTTGTTGCAGCTACCCCAGTTCTCTAGCGTCTTCCCTGATAACATAACCTCTGTGTCTACCTACAAAAAGTGTCCCAAACTTAAATTTTCATTTCTGGCATTTACTATTCAGGTGCTATACAATAGATCTTTCAGTTCATGCTGTGGGAGTGGAATGTCCTAAAAAGGAAGCTTCTCTTCATTCTCATTCTACTTTTACTTTGCTGTCATTCTGCACCTGTTTACAATATAGTCGTTGTATCAGGGAGGATAGCAATCTAGCAATTCCGGGGTTGATACAGACACGCACATAGTATCCAGTATGTCATATAGGCAGGTCAATCCAGTCATGTCCCCATCTATTGGCTGCTTCTAGAGGAAACTGCCAGAGCATGTGGAGGAGCCTTTTGAAAAGGGAAAAGAAGCTCTTTCTAAGATTAATAATCCTAATTTCCCTTTAGTGTGGCCTTATTTGCTACCATTAACTAGCTTTGCTATAACATTTGATATGCGTGCAGCATAATGTGCAGAAATTTAGTTTTTTACAATTGGATTTGTGCTACTTTTAGCATGCACTACTAAGAGATACTTACCTACCTCAAAGGGTTTTGTGATTTGTGAATTGCTTGTATAGTGCGTTGAGATCCTCAAGTGGGAAATACTGTGTAAAAGAACCAGAGCAAAACCGGAAATGGCTTAGGGATGTTAGCGTGTAACCGATAAGGTGATGCTTATCAGTTAATGGTGTTGGTGAGCTGTGGCAAGGAAACCACCTACCTGCGAACAGGGCTGGCAGGGGATGGCAGCCACCCTCCCAAGGAGGTTTTGCTGCGGGCTCTGCAGTATAAAGGTTATATACGTTTTATACTGCAGAACTGGCAGCATATAACTGCTGAGATTTTCATTGGTTACATGGATACCTATTTAACCAACTTTTAAAATCCTTAAAATGGCTTTTGGGAAGAAATACTTATGCTTCCAGATTTATCCCCAAAGAAATATGTTAAAGGACACTTTTTCTGCGCTCAAGATAAATGTTAAAATAAACATTTCTTTCTGCAGCCAACAAACGTTCCACATCCACAGCAAACCTCAAACAAACAGAAGCTGTCATCAACAAACGTTTGTCATCTTCTGCCGCCCTTCTAAACTCTCCTGATCGGAGTAAGTGGTTTTGGAGGGAATTATTTGATTGTGTTTTTTTTTTTGGGGGGGGGGGGGGGAGTAGATGATGAGTGTACTGTTCCTCTAGCCTACTTTTTAATTCATTTCTCGTGTGATCTCAAATGCATTTTACCCAATTTATTAATCCAGCAGACTGTGGAAGTCTTTGACGCAATCCTTGGTTATCCCTGGGTTAGCGCACAAGAGTTAATGGTAAAGTACTCTTGTCATATTTCTAGGTTTTAGTTTTATTAAAGCCAAATCTTGGTGAATGATTTATGAATTACCCATTTCGCACCAAAGGTTTTGCATGCTATAAATTACAGATTCAATATTAGATTATAGTAAACATTTTTTTTTTTTTTAAGTTGCACAGAAGACATCTATTTTCCAATCTTTCGTTGAATATTCACAAGAAAAATAAATCTGCCTCTTGGAATTAAAAATCTGTAGCATGGCCTGAGCTTATGTTTTACATATTACTGAGCACCAATTCCTTGTAACATGTAGAATTGTATCATAACATGGGCAAAAAAGTGTGAGAATTCTGTTTTCTTTTTTACTTTGATCTTGGGAATTGGGGTTTCATTGACATTTTCATACTCCTGCAGTATACATATACCACTAGTTCCAGTGTAATAAACGAGTGATTTTTTTTAAACTTTTTTTTTCATTTGTGGACCCTTAACAAATTTAGAATAGTGTGTGGACCCTTTTGGCAGTCTTAGACATAGCCTGCGGTCCCCCTACAAACTCTAATGACGTACATACATTTTTTTCTGGAATGGAGCATTGCCTGTTTCCTCAATGGTGTTTATCACTACTCCAGATTTTTTTTTTTTTTTGAGCAAACACTGCTGAGCCTGGGCCATAACCAACATGAAATCAAATCACTCTTTAAAAATGAGTTGCTGATATAACGCTTGCCCCAGTGTCCTCCTGTCAGTTTTGTGGTTTTACAGTCATATTTTAAAGTTTTTTTTCTTCTGTTGCTGTGTAAAATCATAGTAAAAGGGGAAATACTATCAAATGCATAAAGTAAACTGGGAAAATGGAATTTTGTCAATTTTTTTTCCATTTTAGAGAACACGTTAAGTGTATCATTTAAGTACATTTTCAGACAGAGTGATTTATAAAGATACAGTTTCTGTACAAGCAATAGTTAATACCAATAATGTTATAGTTTTAAGTCTGCAGTCCTTATGAAATACATATTGCCAGGGCTCACCGAACTGCGGCGAGCCCTGCTCACCAGCTGCGCTATGCGCAGATCGCCCGAACCCGGCTCTTCCGGGTTACAATCTACTCGCTGTGGGCAAGTAGATTGTTTAATTTGTCGAGCCCTGCATATTGCAATGCCTTTTCCAGACCAAAAAACTAGGAAGGTTGCTCATCTTTTAGGGAAGAAAAGTAAAAAATGCATTCCACCACCACTAATCATGTCCTTTTATGTTTTCAAGGCTAAGAGATATCTCCCTGAATCCTCTGTGATGCAATGCTAACCTGTTTAGAGGGTAGTTGTAGTGGACTGCTTATTTCTTATTGTTTCAAAAATCATGCATAAATTGAGGAGAAAGGATAAGGGTTCTTTTTTTTTTCCCTGAAGCTTCTGCAATCTGGTACACATGTGGGTAATGTTACATGTGTGATGATCCCTGTTGAAGTCTGGAACTACGCATAATTTGTGTGTGTGTGTGTGTGTGTGTGTGTGTGTATAATGTGTATGTGTTTGCAGCACAGTAGCACAGAAAGAAACAATATTTAATCAGCTAACAGTCAAAGGGATAGTGTCTAAACTCCTGGCTTTCTGTGTAACACTCTGATAGAGCAAGTTCCTCCAGTATTTTGGGGGAAAATCCTATTTTATTATGTGGCTTAAGATAAATGGTGTATATTAGCATCCTATAAATGTAGGGCTCGAAGTCATCAAGTCCAGCCCCCTGCTCTGTTGCAGGACCAACTAAACTGAGGCCATCTATTACAGGTGGGGAGTTTTAAGAACAGTTTAGACAATGATGGGGACTGCACAGTCTCCTTTGGAAGCCTATTCCAGAGCTTAATTACCCTTATAGTTGGAAAGTTGCAAATGAAACCCATTACTACTTGTCCTCTCTCACCGCCCTTAACAGTTGGAAGACTGTTATAAGGTTGCCCCTTCATCTTTTCTCAGGACTAAATGTGCCCAGTTTTTTCAGTCTTTCCTTATAGGTCAGGTTTTCTAAACTTGTTGTCATTTACATTGCTCTTCTGAACTCTTTCCAATTTGTCCACATCTTTCCTAATTTAAATGCCCAGAATTGGACACAGTACTCCCACTGGGGACTCACCAGTACTGAATAGGACAATTACCTCCTGTGTCCCACACACAACACTCCTATTAATACACCCCAGAATTATATTGGCCTTTTTTTTTCCAAGCTTTGTCACATTACTGTCTCGTACTCAGTTTGTGCTCCACTATAATCCCTTCCCCCGATCCTTTTCAGTAATACTACCATCTAGACCAGCGATGGGCAACCTAGACCAGTGAGTGAGCTGCATGAGTGGCCGTCCTTCATCTCAATGGGCCACAAGATTGTTGTGGCCAGAAGTTCTCCTGGGATGGGATAGTTTTGCTTACTGAGCTTGCATACTTAGAATTTGTGGAGTATGTCGATTGAAATGTAGCAGCGCTTTAGCTGCAGAGGGAGTGCACATCTCTTAGTCAATGTTGTGTGCATTCAGCACGTGCTTTTGCATGGTGCCACTTTAGTAGTACTGTAAGGGGGGGTGGAAAAACAAGCATATGGAAGCCATCAGAATCTGGCAACCCTGCACGTGGGCAATTGTAAACAAAATGTCTAATGGACCCCACAGAGAACCTGGATGTGCCACAAGCAGCCAGTGGGCTGCAGGTTGCCCACCACTGACCTAGACAGTTACTCCCTATTTTGAAGTTGTGCATTTGACTTTTCCTTCCCAAATTAAGGATCACAGCTGTTCCAGAAAATGAAAACAATAGGGGATGACTATAGCAAATTATTCAGGTATTAACACTTCCAATGAGTCCTAGGAGTGCTTGCATAATCTGGGTCAAACTGAATTCTCCAGAGACCACCAGACAAAGAAAGGACTTCTGGATAAATAGCCTGGGCCGAAACTGATTGAGGGCCTTCATTCTGGTTCTGACTCTAAGGTGAATGAACTTGTAACCAAGAGGAAGCCCAGGTGTGGACTTTGAAGGGCTACACCCTACCAAAGCTCTAGGTTGTAGTTAGGGTGAGCTCTGGCAAGCTTTTTGGTATGCATATAGGTTCTTTATGTTTTAATGTTTTCTCTGTAATGCTTTTACCTTAAGAAGAAATATGCTTACCTAGAAGGAGCAGTGTGGTGTCCTATAATTTCAGGCAGTCCACTGGTAATAGGTATCTAAATGCAGAGGAAAGCACGGATGTGTTTTTGGTTTTTTTTTGGTTTTTAGGGGGCCTGGCCTGCTGCAGATATTGCAGTGTAAGGATATTGCAGTTTTTTAACCTTAAATTCTCTGATTACAAGGGAGTGAGATGCAGGGATGTGCCCAAGAGAGGTGATGACTGAGAGCCAGAAATCTTAAGTGGGTGTCCTTGCAGGACCATAGGAATTCAGGTGCAGTTGCCTTGAAACTGTCATCTGTGTATGACTAGTCAAACTCTTTCTGAGAAAATGTCCAGTGCTCACATTTATTTTCTCTTACAGCAAGAGAGATTAAATCAAGACTGCAGGTTTCTGGTTTATACCAGTCCAACAGGTCAGAGTAATTGTAAACTCTTGATCTGGTTTCCAGAGAGCAGCTACTCTTCAGGCGAATAATGCCTTTAATATGCATCTGTGACTTCTATATCCTATCATAAGTTCATAGTGATGCCCACCAGGAATGGTTATAACTTGTGTGCTGGGTGCAGCCTGACGCATTGTCATCTACGATGCTGTTTTGGGGGGGAAGGGGGAGTTTAATCTGATTTAACCTTTTCTTTTATTAGCCACCTTAACAGTATTGATGTAGAGAAAATATGAAATACAAGGTTTCAAGTTCCACTTACCGCTAGAATCCAGCTGTTAAAATACAGCAGCCATTTTCCACACTGGGATGTGCTTTCAAAGAGTACTACAGAGGAAGATCGAAGCTGCTCCTGTCAGTTTTCCAGGGTTCAAATTAGTGGGTCTAGTTAAGACAGCTAATTCAAACGGAGAGGGGCACTCCAGTTGATACTGGTATCCTACTTCCAAGAGGAGTAAGGAAGTCGAAGGGAGAGTGTTCTCCCTTCGACCTCCTACAGTGTAGACAGCATCCAAAGCAGAGTTAAGGTACTTTAGTTACACAATTTCAGCTATATTAATTGCATATCTTAATTCAACTTTGACCTGTAGTGTAGACATACCCAAAGTGGTACTATTCTATTTAATACAAATCAGATTAATTGTTTTATATCTTTGACCTGTGCATTTATGTACAACTTCTGTTTTAAGCACTCTGAAATGTTTATACTCCTGATAATATTGGCCTGATAGACATTTTTATACTCTTTGATTAACTTGTTTATACAGCCTCTTCCCAAGTTATGAACGAGTTACGGACCAAACACTTGGCCGTAACTTGGACCCCGTTGAGTTACATAGCAACCGCTCTGTTCGTAAGCGCAGGTCGTGTTTGTAACTCAGGGACTGCCTTCATGACCGCTCCATGGGAGCTTTGGTCGTAAATGCAAACGGTTGTAACTCAACCGTTTGCAACTCAGGGACCGGCTGTAAATAAGTTAGTTTAAACACATCTTTCTTCAGTTCATATAGAGCTTTATCATATATTTCTTTACTGAATCTTCATTGATTTGGAAGCACTTTGTGGCAAGAAATAAAAATGCATTCTCAAATAATTTGAGAGGAAAAATCATTCTTATTCCTTAACTTTCTAATCTGTATATGAAATTGTTGTGTTTTAAAAAAAAAAAAAAAAACCACCATGAATCAATCAGCCATGACTTATGCTGTACATAGAATAGAGGTTTAGGCGGTTAAAAGAACACTTTCAAATTCTATATAACATGAAATCTGCAATTTCACTTACAGGTACCACAAAGAGAAGTACTTCATTAAACAGACTGAGTAACAAAGTTTCTCAGCAGTCTGAGCAGCCACCACCAAAAGGTTCACAGGTGGAACAGAAAGGTGCAGGAAACATATATATTTTAAATAAAAGCAAATGAAATATTTTAAAACTAATTTAAATTGTGTTTAAACTGAAATGTCCAGACTTTGTTTGGAAATATTTTCACTTTGAACTGTGTAGACTATTGTGTATATAATGTGAACTTTTGGACTTAGATATAATTATGCACATATTAGTAATATCAAACACTGTATCCAGAATTCTGCTGTTTCTATGTGCAAGTATTTTTGGTGAAGCAGTACTTTGGGTGGTGAGAAGTAAACAAGTATGTACAACTTGTTTGGTCGCAGTATTGCATAATGATTGTGGTTTATAGGTATTCTTGGCAAAATATCCTTTTTTAAGAAAGGGAGTGGGCAAGTTGGAAAATCAACTATGTAAATCTCTTGTTAAAAATAGTGATAGAAATGTAGCCATGTTAAAAATAATATTCATTTGATCTTGGTCTCTAGGAGGAACAGAAAAGAAGAGGAGCACATCTTTGAATAGAATGAGTAGTAAACCTCATTCTTCTAATGAACTAGAGAAAGTGAAAAAGGAAGAAAGACCAGGTGGTTAGCTATTTATAAAACTAAATCCTAATCTTGCAGTTTTAAAGCAATGCACAGTATAATTGGATAGGATTATGTTACTTGAGTAATTTCTTCTGTTTACTCTGCATCTGAAAACTTTGTAGTGAAGGTTAAGCTCTTTTAATGTCTTGCCTCTGGCAAAAATACTGTAATGTTCTGGTGAATTTTACTTAATCATGCTAGAAGCTAAGGCTTGGAAAAAATGATGAAGACAAATCAGTTCGCTTTAATCATTATCTTTCTTGTATCTTACTCTGGCTTTAAAATCTGGGGTTTTTTTCAGTTTACAAGCAACTTACCTGTTTGTGCTACAGGACTAAGTTTAGTGCCCCCCAAGCTAGGGGCAGGATCTGTTCTCATCTGAGTCTCTGCTTGTCTTTACATCTATCCTTATAGAACGAGACACCTCCTTACTGAGAATTACGTTCTAATAATTTTTTATTTTAAGCTAATGGATGCCAGCTGCTTTAACAAAATCTCCCTTTAAATTAACACATCTGAAACTTTCCTTCTTAGCAGCTCTTGCCCTGATGAGAAACTGAAGTAGAATGCTTGGAACCATTTTTCATATTGAGTTGACAGTGATTGCTATATATGTGAGCTTGTGTGCGCAAATAACACTTAACAACAACTAACAACCGTTGGCAATAATTTAAAAGATATTTTTCTCTAGTTTGTGCCACTGATCTGTTGTAATATCCTTTGCATCCTAACTTCCAAAGAAGATAACCTCTGCAAAGGTGATTTCAAAGCTTCCTATATTTTGATTTATTTCAGCACTCCATCTCTGTTTTATGTTTGTCTGCATATCTTTCTCTGCACATAACAATTAGACAACAAATTCAGTCAAATTTGATTGCAATATTTAATCCTGCTATACTATTACTATGTATTTCCTTCTTCATTTAATATTTACTTCTGAAAATGCTATGATTACAACAACACTCCTTTTCTTTTTGCTTATTTTCTTCATTATATGACTTCCTGTTGAATTCTTTTTGATTTGTTCCCATCATTCAGCTCGTCGCTCCCAGATCAGTCCTCTGGAGAGTAATGTAATCAGTCGCCTCTTCGCCCCCACACAGGCCTCCTTAGCTAGGAGTAAAAGTGCTGCTACATTATCGGCTGATGGACAAGATCCCTCAGGTAACAGGAGTACAGTGAAAACCTGAAAGTGACAGCAGTTGCTTTGAAAGCAAGAGTGCACATGACAATTGCTAACTGTTACCCCGTCAGCACAAATCAAACATTTAGTTAACACATCACTATGTATAATACTTCATGCCTAACATTTACTTAAACTAATGCAATCCATATTCTGTGTTGCATCCTTATTTTGGGATTTCATATGACAGCATTTGCTTTTAAACTACAATATCATTCATTCATTCATCCTGCACAGAATGGTATACGGGTATTTATTTTTGCACTCAGCTGTCTGTGAGATCTGCATTTGAATTTAAGTGACAGTTTAGGAGGAGGAACTGGAAAACTAGTGACATTTCAAAGGAGGCCTAACAGACTAATAAGCATGGGGCACAAATTGATTTATCTGAGGGAGAGCAAATTTAGCAACAAAAAAGTTGCTGGAATAAGACTAGGTTACCTGTGACTTTTATTCAGTGTAAAGTCAGTGTAATACCCAGCACCAAGCTAAAGTTAACTCTCTGTTCTTTTTTTAATCTTTCAACTCACAATCAATATTTTTCATTTTATCCTTTCAAATGCATTCCTCCATCTTTATTTTTAATGTAACTTAAATCAAGTAACAGTACTTAATAGCAGTGATTAAAATTTCTACTCTGCTGACTGTAATCAATCCTTGCCTTTGCTGATTCCTAATTCATAATCATGTTTTTGCAGTTATTTGTGTGCCATTTTATTATACCACAAAATGTTTCACTTCACTCCATGTGTGGGAAATATCTTTTGTACTGATAGCCAGGATTTGGCTCTGACTCAGTGTTGTTCATACAAAGGTTCAGGACTTTTGTTTTAGCTATTGGCAAGCTTATGGTACTTTCAATAGTATTAACACTGAATTTCAATAATAATCTCTTTGCTCTGTTCTAGCTCAAATTATTGATCGTAAGAGTACAGGTCTTTATTGTTCAATGTTTTATCCATAAGAATACAGTGATTAGGAGCTAGCCAATCTGTCATTAGATTTTTGTATCCCTAGATATTCTAAAATCTTAAATATACTAGTTTTTTAATCTGTTTACAAATATCTCAATTTATATTACTATATACACTTCAAGGGTGACTTGTATATTACATATGTACTACTGTGTTTAGTGAAGAATCCAATACAGTGTTTGTATTTTCTCATCACATCTTAATGTATGTGAAGAAGTTGACAGTTTTGGAGGTGGTAAAGTAACTACAATTGGCTACTATCTCTTTTTGCATGTTTAGTTTCTTCACATACTTTAATTTTGTTTTGTTAATGTGGAGAAAGTGAGGTTTGGAGGGGAAGTAAAAATATGCAATATTGTAGCTGATGTAATAAGTACATAAAGTAAGCTTAACTATTTTCTTATGAAAAATCATTCCATGGGGGTTGGATGAAACAAAACATTTTATAAGTAACTCTGGCATTATCCACGTGTTGCAAAGCATTTGTGAGGTATGCTCCTTTGCCTTGCACAGGAGTTTGGCTGTCAGACTTCCTTTAGTCTAGAAGTAATCATAAGATGCAGTTTGACTTAATTGGAAACTACATTTGGATATTGAAAGATGAGTGCAGGCGTTGTTTGGAAAAGCACTTCATTTTTTTTAATCTGTGCTTGACTGCTGCTTTCAGAATGGTTTCATTCTTGATTCTGTGGCTTCCAAACTACTAATTGTGTGGTGATGGTGTGTTGTGTCCAGGACTTGTTGCAAAGTGCACTTCTGGTGGTGTTTTCTCTGTATGGGTTCTAACACACACAATCTTTCTTCCTTTCTTTCTTTCTGTCTTTTTCTGTTCTGATGCTGTGCGCTTGGTTCTCTGTTTTGTCTTGTCAAATTCCTAACTTTATAGAATCTCACCTCTGTCCTCGTTCAGCTTCAGCCAGTTCCATCAGTTCTCCAGTCCAGACTGCTAAAGTGCCGGTGCGCAGCCGTAGCATTGACAGATTGAAGACCACTGTATCTTCATCTGATCCCAGGTCTCCGGATTCTGCACAAGTATGTTGAAAAATTTCTTTTACAAAAGGGTTGGGTTTTCTTTTTGGGGGCAGGTCAGAATAAGAGGGTGTTATAACAATTAAATCTCCTTTATTTTGCATTGTAGATAAGCATTGTTGGATAGTCACAAAAATATTATTGTAATGAGAAGAACACGTTTCTTTTTGAAGTTTTAATTATCTTGATTCTTAATTATTCAAGTTAGTAAGAATAATTCCAAATGGAAAAATAGGAGTACTAAAGAATCATTTATTTTTCTCTTTTTTAAAAAAAAAAAAAACAGCTTTATTTTAGTGTCTCCAAACCAAAATTTCATACACACCAGAATTTCAGGGTGTTTACAGCCAAACCTAAATCAGCTTGAATCTAGATTGAATCAAGTGATTTATATAAGTTGTTTATAAAGAAATGCACAAACATTCTGAGACATTGGAGCATTTGAAAACTGGATATGAATTTTGTGGATTGAGCTCCTCTATATGTTTGGAGTATACAGATGATCATAAATCCTAAAACCTCATAGATGTAACATTACTAGAGCCATGTTCAGGAGGATAAAGGAAATTTCAAGGATATCTTAATGTGACTAGTGAATATTGTGATGATAGCATTTCTCTGGTGTCTTCAACATATTTTAGAAGTTGCACATTACCACTATTTGTGTATCTGATCAGAGATCAGAGACCGAAAAGCAGTCCCCAAGTCCTGCTGGGAGGCGCCCTCCATCTCCATCTGTGACAGCTCGTAGAAGATCTCCATCCCCTGCTAACGTGGCAAAACGTCCTTCATCTCCCTCTACAGCTAGGTATGTTTAAATCTGTGTTCATCCTAAACTACATTTAGAATAAAATGAACACTGCTTCCTGTTCCACAGGTTTGGTGTCCTTCTATTACCCAGCACGAATGCAGAAGGTGCATATTGTTGCTATCTTTATAAAATCAGTTACAAACTTCAGGCTTTCATGAAGCCTTGATAAGTGTTCCTTTCTCTGCAGACAAAATCAAAAGGCCCGTCCACCTTCACCTAGCGTATTGAAACAAAGACCATCCTCTCCCACTACAGTCTCTAAACCAGCACCTATTCAACGCCTGCCTCTCACACCAAGTGTTATGAGTATTACCAAAAAGAAACCTGAAATGGAGTGCAAACCAAAGGACAAGAGTGAAGAAGGATCAGGACAAGAGCATGGCACTTCTCCAATCTCTGAGAGGGAAACTGTAGCAATTGGCACAAAAACCAAAGAAGGTAAGAGGATCCTTATGTGATCCACTTGTCTATTCCAGATGTATTTATGGTGGTCCATGACATCTTGAAGTTTAATAGTGGTAATTACCTATAAATAATATCAAAGATCTTTGTAAGTACTTTAAATTTTTTGCATAATCTAGGAGATACTTAAATCTTTCTGAATGGACACACATTGTGTTTTTGATGGCCAGGACTCTTTCAGGAATTGCCAAATCATCTTTAGTGACTACAAGCCAAGTTCCATCTCCTTCCTAAATTTCCCCTGCATGTCTATTTTGATACAGTATCCTTCAAAGTGAGGAAGGGATATCTCGGTGGTGAAATTAGAACACTTGGGAGTCAGGATAACTGGTTCTATTTCTCATCTTTCCACCAAATTCTTGTATAATCTTGGTTTATGCTTTCTGTCTTAAAACACCTTGGCTGTGTCTACACTGGCATGAATTTCTGGAACTGCTTAAAATGGAATACTATTCCATTTTCAGTTTTTCCGGAAAAGGAGCGTCTACATTGGCAGGCTGCTTTTTCAGAACAGTGTTCCGGAATAAGGACTTATGCCCGAGCGGGAGCAGAATAGTTTTTCTGGAATAGCGGCTGATTTTGTACAGAAGAGCATCGTTGCTTTTCCGGAAATTCAAGGGCCAGTGTAGACAGCTCGCAGCTTATTCCGGAAAAGCGGCTGATTTTCCGGAATAAGTGGCCCAGTGTAGACACAGCCCTTGTGTCTTGACTTTTACCTTTATAAAATGGAGATTCACAAATCTTTGTGTAATACTTAGAACACTTTTAGATGAAAGGAACTGTAGAAGTGGGAAAGTATTATACTCCATTCCTGTAGTTTCACTGACTACAATTGAATAGTGGTACTTTCCACCCAAGAATTGGCAGCATTTAAGGGATTGTTTCACTCATCACTGTAAACTGTACTTTGCAAAACAATTTATAAGGAATTTTGGGATGATATCAGGTTAAAAGATGTTTGCAAATTGTGAATTATTTAGTAGCTTTATAAATTGTAGTAAACAGTCATCTGAAGAAGTGGGCTGTGCCCATGAAAGCTCATACCATCTACATGTTTTGGTAGTCTATAAAGTGCTGCCAGATCTTGTGTTGTTTAAGTTTGCTCATTTATTGTAAGCAACAAGAAACCTAGATTCCAGATGATTAGATGCCTGGCTAAATGTTTGTTCCAGTGCATGTGCAATTCCCACAGCATCAGGAAATAATGGGCAGCACTGCCATACAGAGGAAAATGAGGGAGACTTACTTCTCTCAGGTTGGAAATAAATCTCCTGACCCCATTCATTGTACCAAATGAGCACATTCTCTACCCCTCCAACTAGGAAGAACACCCCCTACAATTTCCAAAAAAGAGTTTAGGAAAGACTTCATCAGAAGTATCACATATACACTTCCTTTGTGTAGAAAGTCATAGGGGAAGCTTAACAGAAAAAGGAGTTTAAACAGGCAACTGGTGGAAATACCAAGGCTGCAAATCCTTCAGATACCATGGATAAGTAGGATTGTATGTCTGATGCATGTTACTGTGACAAAGATACTTATGTGTACAGGCAGTCCCCGACTTACGCGGATCCGACTTACGTCGGATCCGCACTTACGAACGGGGCTTTCTCGCCCCGGAGGTCAAGGTGGCAGATTGCTGCATGCGAGCTCCGGGGCGAGAGACCTAAGCTGCTCCCGGTGCCCCTGGTCTGCTGGAGACCGTCTCCAGCAGACCAGGGGCACCGGGCGGGTTCCTGCGCTTCTGAGGCTTTGCCGGAGCAAAGCCTCAGAAGCGGGGGACCCCGCCGGGGCTGCGGCTTTGCTCCCAATGCCCCTGGTCTGCTGGAGATGTTCCCCAGCAGACCAGGGGCACCGGGAGCAGCTTTTCTCGCCCCGGAGGTCGAGGTGGCTGACTGCTGCCTGTGAGCTCTGGGGCGAGAAAGCCCCGTTCGTAAGTGCGGATCCGACGTAAGTCGGATCCGCGTAAGTCGGGGACTGCCTGTACACATAAGTATCTTTGTCACAGTAACATGCATCAGACATACAATCCTACTTATCCATGGTATCTGAAGGATTTGCAGCCTTGGTATTTCCACCAGTTGCCTGTTTAAACTCCTTTTTCTGTTAAGCTTCCCCTATGACTTTCTACACAAAGGAAGTGTATATGTGATACTTCTGATGAAGTCTTTCCTAAACTCTTTTTTGGAAATTGTAGGGGGTGTTCTTCCTAGTTGGAGGGGTAGAGAATGTGCTCATTTGGTACAATGAATGGGGTCAGGAGATTTATTTCCAACCTGAGAGAAGTAAGTCTCCCTCATTTTCCTCTGTATGGCAGTGCTGCCCATTATTTCCTGATGCTGTGGGAATTGCACATGCACTGGAACAAAGGCTGAATCTGGACGCCAGTTCCGACTTACATACAGATTCAACTTAAGAACAAACCTACAAGTCCCTATCTTGTACGTAACCCAGGGACTGCCTGTATTACTCAATGGGTGTAAGCTTGAAGGAATGTCTGAAAATTTCCTGTGTCAGCACTTCAAACTGGGTATGAAATATGGCCAGAAATTGTTTGGGATATTATATGTTGTACTGTGCTTTGCACACATGTTCAGTGAGGATAGCTAGATGTCTAAGTGTAACTGTCAATGGCTTACGGTGTTGTGTATCAGTATTAAAACAGTCTCCCACACTCTTTATTGTAATGTGTATTTTAAACCTGTCTAGCGCTCAAGAAATAGAGCAATAGTTGACATGACCAGTACTTGATTCCTGTTTGCCTGTTCTATGCACAGTGTCTACCAGTTACTATTTTGCTTCAGAAACAATAATGGTCCTGTAGCACCTTAGGGTATGTCTACACTACAGCACTAATTCGAACTAACTTAATTCAAATTAGTTAATTCGAACTAAGCTAATTCAAACTAGTGCATCAAGACCTAAAAACTAGTTCGAATTAGCATTTTGCTAATTCGAACTAGCATGTCCACATTGTGTGGACACTGAACCGAGGTTAAGGATGAACGGAAGCAGTGCCGGCAGGGAATCAGATTAGGACTTAGAGCGTGGAGCTGCTGTCTCAGGCTAGCCGAGGGCTGTGCTTAAAGGGACCCGACCCCCACCCCGGACAAACAGTTCTCATGGGTTCCCCGCTCGCTTGTCTAACTCGATGAGGGACAGCAAAGCAGTCCTGGCTTGGAGTGCCCTGAATGCCCACACTCGGCACATCACAGCACTCAACCATCAGCCCGGCTGCACTTGCCGCAGGCTGCCATCCGGGGGGGTGGGTCAATCGGGGGGCTGCAGGAGAGCTTCCACCCCGAGGAGCCTGCAGAGCCACCCCAGTCCTCCCCATCAGGGGCTCATACCCCATTCCTCCCTCACGTCCTTCCACTTACCTCTCCCTAGCCCCCCTTCCTGATGTACAAAATAAAGGACACGTGTGTTCAAAAATAGAAACTCTCTTTATTGAACAAAACTCAGGGAGACTGGGAAGAGAGGGTGGGAGGAGGAAACCTGGGAGGAGGGAGCTGGAAGGGGGAAGCCAGGGGAAGAAGGAGGAGGGGAAGTATCTACCTATGGTACGCCATATCTTCAGTACTGTGTACAGATGTGATCTCCTCACCCCAGAAAAGATATTTTGGCCTTGGAAAAGGTTCAGAAAAGGGCAACTAAAATGATCAGGGGTTTGGAACAGGTCCCATATGAAGAGAGGCTAAAGAGACTGGGACTTTTCAGCTTAGAAAAGAGGAGACGGAGGGGGGATATGATAGAGGTCAGTAAAAGCATGAGTGGGGTGGAGAGGGTGCATAAAGAAAAGTTCTTCATTAGTTCCCATAATAGAAGGACTAGAGGACACCAAATGAAATGAATGGGTAGCAGGCTTCAAACTAACAACAGAAAGTTCTTC